CCTCTCCACCCAAGGCATCATATTGACTCGTCATACATGATTGTAATTGTATATATGTGACTCAATAAATATTATTATTATTATTAAAAAAAAAGTAGTTTTCAACTTAGTTGACTACATTGCTATTAATAATGATTTGATATCACTTGATTGGATGATATTCTTTTCCAAAAATTCACTTCAAATATCTATATCTTTTCTTCACAATGAATTGTATAAAATAATATCCCCCATGGTATTCAAAAGAGATCAAGATTTTATTGAGTGAAAAAAAATAATGCTCACAGGGATTATAAAAAAATTCATTAAAATATTGCTTACAAGTTTCAGATATTTTAAAAATGTATAAAAAGAAAGCAAAAGAAGAATGTACTGATTATATTAATTTAACTGAAAGAAATACGTTCTTCAAAATTAAATTTTTTTGGAAATAACTCAAGAGGGGCAAGTGGTCTGCCTAATTTGATCTAGTATGGAGATGAATCAGCTGATTCCTCACAGAATATTGTAAAATTATTTGCCAAGTACTTTGTGATTCTATATAGACCTGATTCTGGTGCATTGCTGATTGATCTACTCACGATGCTATTGTACATGGCAAAAATATTGGTAGTCATCTATATCATGTTGCAGAATAATACTGATGCTGATGAAATTTCAGCTGAATTGATTAAAAATGGTATTGTGAATTTAATTCCCGATACACTGTTTCTTTTCTAGGTTGTTACATGAGTAGATATTCGTAGCAGTGCGGAAAAAGTTTTATTACACCTTTTTTCAAGTGTGGAGAGCGTTTGTGTATTGAAAAATGATAGACATATATCAAAACTGTCACTCCAAAACTTCTTGAGCAAATTATTACTACTAGTCTTTCTTGTTATTTAAACTAAGTTTTTACTGAACAATATGGTTCCTGGAGCAGCCTCAACAAACTTAATTCTCTTTTAACATTTTATTATGAAGTTGGTCAATTTTCACAAGTTGATGAATTTTTCCAGTACTTTTCAAAACCATTTGGCACTGTAAACCACAGATTACTGATATGTAAATTGAAGAGGCGAGGTACACATAGTTCTTTATTTAATTCATTAACTGATTATCTTGCGAGTAGAACTCAAAAGTAATCCAATGTGAAATTTAAATACTTAATATCTACGGACATAGTGGTGTCCTCTGAAGTTCCTGAGGGTTCTCACTTGAGTCCCTTATTGTTAATTTTTATGAATAACAGTAAATCAATGTTGCTTTCTGAATTACTGCAATTTGCAGATGATTTGAAACCGTAGTGAGGTCTCTGAGATGAATAACTGCATAGATCTACAACTAAATTTAAATCATTTGGTGCGAGAAAATATATTTATTATTAAAGAATAATAAGTGCAAGCCAATGACTTTCTCATGTTCACATAGAAAAATGTTTTTAACAATATAAAAGTGAACTGACAAATTGAGAGTGTTGATCAGATAAAGGATCTGGGTGTCATTTGTTTTAACAATGTTTTAATTTGCAAATTCAATACATTATCTAAGGCCAAGAGAATGTTGATTTATTGGATGTTTCACCACAGATTTTAAATCACTTCACTCTTTTAAAACATAATTAACTTTTGCTCAAACATTACTATTAGATGCGTCACATCTCTGAACACCCTATTATCAAATTGATATACAAAACCAAGATTTTAAATTTTCTAAGTCATCATCAACTATACTTACTATCTCCTTATATAATTCACAATTATAATCAAATTGCTACCTTGAAATAAGTTTCAGAAAATCGTAGAGAATGTACAATGATTACATTTTATTGTTTAATCTGTGTAATAACAATATTGATGTATTCAGCCATTATCTAAACTACGTTGGAAAATTTCTTCGATTAATTCATAAAACCACAACCAGCCAATCAGATGGCCGAGATCGTTAGGGCAGTAGTGCCATAGCAGTCTCAGTCCAGAAGACCTCGGGGTCGAGTTCTGCTTCAGGAATGGGTGTATTTGTGATTGTCTATAAGTGTGTACTATCCTTTCACCACTCACTATTGTCATTATCTCATCGTCCCTATCCCCAGGGCTAACAACCTTGGGACCTAAAAATTAGGATTCAGATAAAATGCTCATCCCTCCCCCAGATAAGGTACTTGGACCTGCTAAAGCAGGACACACATGTGGTCCGAGTCGGCTTACCTGTGAGGAAAAAAATTTGAATTACCAATTTCAAAATCTAGTCTACTAACATATGCACAAACTGTTCACATGTGTGATCTAGCAAATGAGTTAAAATTTGATGACATCTCCTGCTGGTGTATTCAAATAGCAAACAAAATACAACTTGGAGACTTTTAATATATTCTTATTTATGGCAGCAGCAAAAAGCTGATATACACATAACTTCCCTGTACATTTTACATCAGTATAAATTACAATAAAAATAATTTATAGGTAATTCATATCTTAAACATAAAATTATCCCAACATGTAAATGAGTTTTTTGAGATCTCATTGAGATTCTGTGGAGATTGACTATTCCCTATGATGACTATTCTGTTTTTCAAAAACTTATGTTGAAGTAGAGTTTTAGTCCATTCCCATTTAATTTCCAAATTATCTCCCCTGAGACATGAATCTGGTCTCCTCTCAAATAAGTTATCTTGGGTTCAAGGGCTTCAAGCCTTGTTGAAGACTTTGAAAGCAAAACTGAGGTTTCCTCTCTGCCTCCTCCGTTCCAATGCCAGTAGGGACAGTTCATGGCATCTCATAGCTCTCACCATCCTTGTCCTTCCTATAATATGGAGATCAGACAGCAATTGCATATCTCAAAATTGGTCTTATGAACATTAAATAACTCTCTCATGAGGTAGAGCACAAAATTTGCTTTCCTGCAGCTACTTCATGCTTCTATCTCAAGTTCTGCCTTATGATTACTTGGAGATCATTTTGAGATGATGTAGGTTTTAGTGTTTGCTCTCTAACCGAGTTCTGGTACTTAGGATTATTTCTTCCAAGGTGTATACTTACTACTACTCAACGAAAGCAACCAAGTATTCCACCACTCCTCAAACGTTCGCAAATCATCTTGAATATCAAGGTAGTGTGAAGTTAAGTCTCTGAATAACTTGGTACCAATGTAGCAATTCCACTGAGTGTGATATGTAATAAATGTTTTATATTTTTAATTGTAAAAGGGCAATTACCAGTAAATAATAAAAATAAAAAAGAACAATTACGGCTGTGAATCTGCCCTTTCATTACTAAATTACTTGTCTCTGATGAGCTATTTTGGCATTCTGTAAATCATTATGTATGTTTGCAAATTACCTCTCTGTGCGAAACTCTTTTCGTAGATGGATCATTCGTAACTTTCTTCTCAGTGAATCTGCATATGACAGCTGAACTTCATCAATCAGACCTTTAGTCAGACAGAGCAATTAAGAGTACATTAATCGCCATGAATCCCCATCGCTTTCTAATGCACTCTGCTAGGTGAAGCTCTCTTGGCAGACAAAGCATTCAAAGGATGTTCTCTGCTGTGAATCCGCATGTGCTTTACGAAATAATATCTATCTGAGAATTTCTTTTGGCACACTGAGCATTCATAGGGACGTTCTCCACTGTGAATCTGCATGTGTCGCTTTAAAATACTTCTCCATGGGAAGCTCTTTGGGCAGGCGGAGCATACATAAGGACGTTTTCCGTTGTGAATCCGCATGTGATTTACTAAAGTACTTCTCTGTGCAAAGCTCTCTTGGCAGACAGAGCAATCATAAGGACGTTCCTTGCTGTGAATTTGCATATGCTTTACAAAATAAAATTTATCGGAGTATCTCTTTTGGCACACGGAGCATTTGTAGGGACGTTTGTCGCTGTGAATCTGGAGGTGTCTCTCTAAAATACTTTTCCGTGTGAAGCTCTTTGGGCAGACGGGGCATTCATAAGGTCGTTCTCCGCTATGAATACGTACGTGTTTCACTAGAGTACTTCTATCTGAGAACTTTTTATGGCAGACAGAGCATTTATAGGGACGTTCTCCACTGTGAATTCGCGTGTGCAGCACCAAAGTACTTCTCTGGGCAAAACTCTTCTGGCACACAGAGCATTCAAAGCAGCGTTTTCCACTGTGAATCAGCATATGCCTTTCTAAATGACTTTTCCACTTGAAATTCTCTTGACAGACGGAGCATTCATAAGGACGTTCTCCGCTGTGAATCCGCATGTGTTTTACCAAAGTACTTCTATCTGTGAAGCTCTTATGGCAGACAGAGCATTCATAGGGACGTTCTCCGCTGTGAATCCGCATGTGCTTTACTAAATCACTTCTCTGAGCGAAGCTCTTCTGGCACACAGAACATTTGTAAGGGAGATCTCCGCTGTGAAAGCGCATGTGTTTCACTAAAGTACTTCTGCGTGTGAAGCTTTTTTGGCAGTTGGAACATTCATAGGGACGTTCTCCACTATGAATCTGCATATGCATTACTAAATGACTTCTCTGGGCAAAGCTCTTGTGACATACAGTGCATTCAAAACAGCGATTTCCGCTGTGAATCAGTGTATGCCTTTCTAAATGACTTTTCCATAAAAAAGTATTTTGGCAGACAGAGCATTCGTAAGCACGTTCTCTGCTGTGAATCTTCATGTGCCTTACTAAATATACTCTCTGCGTTAAGGTCTTTCTGCAGACTGAACATTCAAAGGAACGTTCATCACTGTGCATGCGAATGTGCCTTATTAAAGTACTTTTTTTTTGGAAGCTCCTGTGGCAGACAGAACATTCATGGGAAAGATCACCACTGTGACTCTGCATGTGTCTTATTAAAACACTTCTTTTTGAGAAGCTCCTGTGGCAGACAGAACATTCATGGGGACGATCAGCGCTGTGTACAATCATGTGCCGAACAAGGTGACATCTCCACTTGAAGTTTTTTTGACAAACAGAACATTTATGACAACTTTCCTGTTCCTGTACAATTGTCTCTTCATGCCCACTTACTGACTCACTCGCACTACTGACAGAGCGTGTGTTTGCATGAATGGCATTATCTGAATTCAGGCTCTCTGGGCCATTGTGAGTTGAAACAGATGATATGAGCCTCTCTGGATCACATTCATCACCTGTGAGCAGAAATCCTTTATTAATACAACACTGAAATTATTGTTAAATAATCAGAAATGAAATGTAACCTCTGTCTCCCCCACTGCATACTCACATACACTTTTGTGTAGAAAGAGAGAGTAATACATATTTCATGTTATTAAAAGGCATCATAGTTTATAAATTATAAAAATTATTCAAACAACCAATTAATTAAATCCTACAAAAATTAAATAAATAATGACGTATTTTATCTAGGGGGCACAGTTTTGAGGGTGAGGGACGCTAACCAACATATCAATCCTAATCATAGACTAACTACTAATTACATTTTATGCTACTTGTTTACACTGTTTACTAAGTTCCTAGAGTTCTAAAACTTAAAACATCATTTATAAGATGACAGAAAGGTTAGTTTGAAAAATAAAATATACGCACGAGCAATAGATTTGGTTATTCGAATTGTGATTAGCCAATTACAATAAAATTACAAATGGTTAAAAAATGAAGTAGAAGAATTGACACATAGAGGCCCACAAAAAATTATATTAAATTCATTTTGTGCACAGTCGGCGATTAGTTGAAGTTAAATGCAGAGGCAAAGAATGTTAAACGAATCAGCAGGCAAGCTGTCAAGGCGGTGTGTTCATGCTAGTAGTTAGTCAAACTCTCGACCATTTATTACACCTACAGACTAACAATAGCTGCTTCTAAATATGAACAGAGCATTTAAATAATTATTTGAAAATACTTGAAAAATATAAATAGTTTAAATAGTTGTTTCACAAAAAGTGAGTCATTCCCATTCTAATATCGAGAATTGAAACTGACCCAAAGCCCTTGCATCAAAAACCTGCTGACCTTGCAGAAATATCTGAAGGAATTAGCAATCTGGATTTCTTTCTTAAAATCTGTGGAAGCTTATATAGAAGACTCTCACCTCAACAACTAGACCCAGTAAACGTATTGGAAACAACACCAATTAACAAATTTAAGTTCAAAATTCTTACTATAATTTGCATTCAGATTAAAAAAAACTGTACAAACTTCAGAACAAATTACACTGTACTTTGTATGCACTATAGATATACAAGTTTAATAAGAAGAAAATTAAGTGGTAGTATTACTACATACAATTCTATTAAAAACAGTACGTCATCAATACTTGTTTTTAACAAATCTCGTTTGGGATAACTGTCCAAGGAGAAAATCAAATTAAGATATTTTCCCCTTCTTAAGTAAAAGGGCTCCCCTGCAAGTGTTAACCTGGTCATCACATTTCTGTGATCAGGAAAGAAAGTAAATTTTTCTATGCTGGCTAAGTATTCCCTTTATATTAATAGTAAAATAATTAAATGGTTCTTTAAACTCACCAACTGGCCATGAGCTCTTGTCAAGATTTTCATTACACATTGCCAAAGGGTCCTGGAAAAAAAAAAGTTATTAATGTATCATGATGTCAGATTAGCCTATTTCTTGTATTGAAGTCAATAACAAAACACCAATGAATATACAGCAATGATCATTGGCACCCGTTGCAAATAATTAGAAACCATTATAAGCAAATTATAAAAGACCATTGCAGAAGCAACAATGATGCCAATTTAAAGCGAGCGACTCAAAAGTCAGATAAGAAAACTCTACCCTGTAATTAAAATTACATTTAGAACATATTACATTATATCCATTTGTTCGAGAGTCTCTTTGCGTTCCATGTGACATCACACGCTATGACTAGTGGATGGGGGAAACATGCAGCAACACATCATATTATTTTCACATTGGTTATGGCTTTTGTAATTACCAAAGAACATGTGATCTTAAAAAAATGTCCACAGCTCATGCACACAAGATGAAAGTGAGAAGGCTGGAGCCCTTTGGGTGATGAAAAATCTTCCCACCTTTCTATTTAAAGATGATTAGATAGTATTGATGTCAATTTCCAGCTTAAGGAATCTATTTAATAGTATAAATTATAATTATAAAAATGTTTTGACAATAAACTACATCAAGTTATTCCACAATTAATTTTCACATGAACATCCATTTAATATCAAATATATTTGTAAAAATATGCTGTCAATAAATTACATCAAGGTATTTCAAAACTCTCAACTACGTGTAAATTGGATTATTGTGTTAAATAAAAAGAAATACCAGTTTATTTTTACTTGCTTTCGCACGAAACAGTTGTTTCAATGATCTCAAAGACATGAAAATTGTAATGCTAATATTCTTCCATTACATAAAAATGTATCCACCTCGTTAGACTTTAATGTTCTTGATCAAACTAGCAAAGCATTGAACTGAACATTGTCTCTATTCCCTCCCTCTAATTGTAAGAACCTTTTCTTGGTTGACTTTTGGAAAACACTCATGCTAAACATGGTCAGTGAAGTGTTTGAATTGAAATGTAAACATTGTTATTCTTACCTTGTGTTCCTGTGGTACTTGTTCAGGCACTTCTTCGGGATCCAAAAACAATCGAACTGATGGCTTTAGTTCCTCCTGCAAGTGGATGAGAAACCACCTCTGTATAGTTGTTTTTTTAATGCTCAAACATTTCAAGAAAACTGAAGATATCATTGGCATGCACTGCACAGTCAAACTTAAATTCAATCTAGTTAGAACAAAATTTGGTTTCCAGAACAGAAGAATATGAGGAGAACACAAATAAAGAAATTGTTCCAACAGTGGAAGGGATACAGAAGGGTGTCTAGACTGAACAAAGACATTAAATCAGTGTTGACAATGCAATATCAAGTGTTGAAGAACAAGAATATTACAGTACAGTAGACAGAAAAGACATAAATAGAATACTATACTTTAACTTAACAAGTAGTGAAATTATGAATTTACTGTGAATATTTCATTGTACTTCTGAAATAATAAAAGGACACGAGATAAATAGGTTATCATAGTACAGAGCTTAATTGAGTCCAGTGAAGACAGTGTTGTGACAAGCAACCATAAAGCAAGATTCTCATCTGATTAAAGAATGCCAATATTCTTATCTGTCATGGCAGGGGAGCTCTCTAGACTGCTGAAGAAAATAAGCAAAATGTCATTTTATTCACACAAATTCCACCAAATGCTGAAACTATTACTTCATACTAAGAGAGTAAGTATTGTTTGCGAGAATGTAGTAAAACTTGTAAAGAAGTAATAGTTAAAGTTACCCACACGGTACCCAAAGTTACACTTAAAGTTTCCCACAAGGTAAAAGTATTTACTTCAAAATATTCCAGTATTCAGCATTTACTCACTATTATTCACACTACCCAATATATGAAGAAGTTATAGATGAAGAAATATATGAAGAACTACAAGATTTCAAAATTATACAACATATAATGAAACATCTTTAAATAAAAGCAAAACACTTTATACTCCAAAAAATTATTTTAAATTGATTGCTAGGCCTCTACTGGTTATTTGCAAATAAGGAATTGGATTATTGTAATCCTATTAACTAGTAAATTACCAATGTCTTCATCAGAGGATGCACCTTTCTTATACATTTTATGTTATGTGTAGCTTCATGACAACCTGATATGAAATTTATGTGTTTCGATGTGAATGGAATATCAAGAATGGAGTTCTGCAAGGATAAGTAGTAAGCACACTATATTTAGAAAATAGGGTGTCTTTTCAATTTGAAGTCAGTCTTGAGCAACAGAGAGTTCAACATAAATTCATAGAGTTTATTTAAGGCAGATTGCTTAATGCCTTGGCTAAATTTTTTGGAGATTCCTTTCCAGAGGGATGATACTAAGGATAAGTAGTAATCACACTATATTTCTCTTGGCAATGGGCAATGCTGATATAAGAATCACACCCCCAAGAATCGTAAGCAAGAGCTCTGATAATATCACTGCACCCTCTGGAAAGGAATCTCCAAAAGATTTAGCCAAGGCATTAAGCAATCAGCCTTAAATAAACTCTATGAATTTATGTTGAACTCTCTGTTGCTCAAGACTGACTTCAAATTGAAAAGACACCCTATTTTCTAAGAAAGAAAAAAAGAAAAAAGAAACAGCCTTCACTATCACTAAGTCAAAAAGGCTCAATTCTGATGAAAAATATATTGAAGTACTGGAAATACATCTTGGTTCTAAACAAAAATGGAAATGACATATGCAATTATAAGCAGCTGAATGTAACAAGAGATTAAACTATTAAAAGACATTTCTCATAATAACTGGGTCACTGACAAATCTCTTCTTTTGATGATACATAAAGAAATAGTGCACTCCAAGATTGACTATGGAACCCCGGTGCCATAAAAAAGATCTAAAAAACCATGACATTATTGACAATAAAGCTTTGCAAATATTCATAGGTTGTTTGAATTCCCGTCCTATTGACAGTATTTTAATAGAAGCTAAAGAAACAACCCTATCTCATCGCTAGCCCTAAAATATGCCATCAAAGCCACTGGAGTAAATAACCCTATAATTTACCATGAAATCAACCCAAACATTGAAAATATTATAAAGATTATTGATTTATGCCAATAAACCCCAAAATCAAAAACCTCTTTAGGCAATTAAATAGCGTGGAAAATGTCAGTGAAGAGAAAAGAAAAACAAACATTCTACTATGAATAATATCAGACATAGAAGTATCCCAAAAGTTAAAATACCAGATAAAGGCTGCAAGATAAAATCAACCAAGCTAACAAACAAATAAAAATATCACTACAAGTTCACAAAAAATCAGGATGAAAAATAGCAAATAAGAATCACTAGAAATAAATAAAAATTAAAAACAAACTGTACTACTATTCCAGGCATACTACTACAGAACTGTGCTCCACATTGACAGCATTTACACTTGCAAAGGAGTTTAGAAGCAGCAAAATTGTTGTAACTTGTAACTAAAGATCACCATCTCACCTGTGTGCCCTTCAATACCTCTCTCAACATCCGTAATTTGTTTCACCAATGTACTCTGTTTCATCACAACTGAGAGGAGCAAGAGCAAAAAATAATCCTAATATCTGAGGATTATCAAATAAAGTACTACAATTTTGTAAATCAAGAAATATCCTGAAGAAAATTCCACCCTACAAAATACATTTCAAAACCGTACAATTGCAATTTTGTATTTAATAATGTCATTTGTTTACATCCTTTTATGTATAATTTCTCTGCAGCATTTTGTGAAAGAACTGTTTTTATAACCAATGATAATTTTATGTAACATCTTTCTATGTAGTTGATAATAATCATAATGTTGAAGTGACTTAAAATAAATATAAAAAAAAATGTTTTATATGCCATGATTTTCATACACTTATCAACTATTTATCACTTGATAATAATTACCAAAATTTCCTCAAAATTGCAGGGAATCTGAAAATGAAGTGTTTAAGGTTCAGGACCGGCTGTGAATGTTATTAATACCAATGTAGCAACTTATCGTTATTTTTTGTCTACTATATCAAAATATTACAGTTCGCACTAAGAAACTACAAATATTCTGAATAGTGATACACAAATAAAACTATCAGTAACTCAATAAGCATTAATATATCTTAGAATCAGTACGTTGTTCACATTTCAATCCTGCCAAAGCCACTTCAGACTCTGGAGTTTAAAAGAAAGTCATTTGTGGGGAAATAGAATACCAGCTCACCTCTTCATCTTTTTCTTTCACTTCACTCTTCAAAGGACAGGTTCTCTCCCCTTCCTGCAAATGACAGAACACTTCATTCCCTTTCTTTTTCACTTCACTCTTCAAAGAACAAGTCTTCTCTCCTCCCTGCAAACAACAGAACACTTCATCCCTTCCTCCCTTCACTCTTCAAGGGATAGATCCTCTCCCCCTTCCTGCAAACGACAGAACACTTCATGGGATAGGTCCTCTTTCCTCCCTGCAAACAGAACACTTCATCCCCTTCTCCTTCACTTCACTCTTCAAAAAACAGGTCCACTCTCCTCCCTGCAAACAACAGAACACTTCCTTACAGTTGCTGCAATACGAAAGTATCACTCACAAATTGCATTTCAATTAAAAATGTGTTTTGCTTTGAGAAACACAAGGTTGCATTCAATTTTATGAATATTTAGTAAAGTATCAGTTGCAACATACAAAAGAAAATTAAAATACCAAACATTAAACTAAAAACAAATATTCTAAAATTCAAAGCACTTACAACTCAAAAGTCAAGCTTCTCTTTGCAGTTCCTACTGTTAATCCTAAACCAGATTTAAACTTTGATATCAAAAATAAACTTTATACAAGTTCTCAAATATTATAATCACACAAATAATAATAGGAACAATAAGTAGATGTCCTTGGAAGTGAAGTAATAAATGCACATGGTACATTAAGAAAAAACAAACATCAGAAGATTATCTTAAACTTTCTTGAATTTTTATCTGAGATAATTACAATTTATGTTTTGAAAAAATGTTTACATCTTAGTACTTCTATAAAATAAATTTAGATCAGAAGAAAAGTACACCATTGATAATTCTCACAAACTCTCCTCACTGATGTTCTGTTTCTCAATGATTTAAATATTTGAATCCAATTATATTACACAATAATATTGAGTGTGTGGCTTAAAGTAATACTTTTGAAATTGGAAAGATTCCATACAACTTTTGTACTCGAGAAACACATTCATTTACAGACTTATTAATAAGACAAATTCCTTTTTTATAGAATATATCTTGCCAGTAAAGTAAAAAAAGAAAAGTAGTATTTGCTGCCTTTAAATAAAAAAAACCTATCATTCATTAAGACATATCTTCTTTAAACTCCTTTGTGCATGGAAATAAAATCAACTAGTGACTTTTACTACCTCTAAATTAAAGGTTCTAATGGGTAAACCAATTTCTCACCATGAAATTGCATGCTTCCTCTCTGCCACATTCATCAGGTTCCTGTTTTACCTGAAAACAAGAGTGAGAGAGATATTTAAGAAAAACATTAATTGAATCAACTTTCAGTTCCTAACATTATTTATAACAATTTCAAACAACGCAATACTCATATCAAGAACAAAATACTCCCATAACCTCAAAAGAGTTCATCTCTCTAGACTATTGATAGTGACGCTAAACATGCTCACTTTCCAAACAAAACTAATACAATTGCACTATATTTCTTACAACTTCTAAGCTAATGATTTCAAATTCAAAACCTTGAAATAATCAACGGCCACCTCCTTTACTAAAAATAAACTCCTCGGAAATGATAATTGTAAAACACACATTTTTTAACTTAATTACACATTCACACATTATTTCACATTGGTCCATATTATTACAAAATACTGTAATACATAATATTTAACAGAATTTTATAAAATGTGCAATTTTTTACCGCTCAGCAAACCTGATACCAAGGTTGGCAGAGTCCAAAAGAATATCTACGTATGCAAACTACTGTCTATATTGGAAAGATTCAAGAAAACTTAAAGATTACTCAAGTAATAGTTTTTACACACACATAATTAAAACAAATTCCATTGACTCACACCACCTTCGCAATAAAAGAGATATGGTGAAACATTACCTGTTTTACACAAAAATTTACTTAATTTTTCACATCTTCAAAGTTCAAAATGACTACAAACAAACTCAACACCTTATATATTCTACCTGAAAAGAGTAAACAAATATCTCGCTGCAAAATTGCACACTTCCTCTCCAGCATGATCAACAGGTTCACATTGTACCTCCCAACAAATGAGACACAGTTTTGTAAAACATTAATTATTTTCGCATTCAGTCCTACAATATCTGTATCACAAATTCTACTATACAATAATCAAAATTATACTAAAAAATTGTAACTTAACTAATAAATAGTACATCCCCAATCTTTTTATTCGGTCAGTAAATAGTCTTGAAACAAAATGTAGGTAATTGAAATATCAGTTTATAATTGATAACATAACGATTTCGGAAATCAGAAAATAAAATTAGTCTCACAACGTTATAAAAAAGGAACTGCGAAATAATAATAATAATAAAACTTACGTTTTCTACTTTAATCAGGCATTCAGACAAAATTTCCAGACGATCCATGTTATTTCGAATTAGGAAATCACACAGTATTTCTCACAGAATTTATTTAACTATCATACGAATAATTCGAATGTTGACTGTGGCACAATTTTTTTGACACGAAACATTTCGTTCACCGTTCACCGGTAAGGAGTCGACTCTCAACAACGTGAAAGTTCAGTTCAGTTCAGTTCAGTTTGTGAATGGGGCTCATAGAGGAGAGATATTGTATATCTCTACTCTATGGAATGGGGCTGCATTTCGAAGGTTCTTATATATACCATAGATAGATAGCATGGAGAAATATAATTTAGGAGGGGAAACTTGCGTGGCATCATCTACAATCATGTACAAGAGTTAAATCTACAACACTGCACTCTGTGCCTATTTAAAAATAACAAAATAATTGGAGTTGGGAAGAATCGGTTGGCAATTATAAAAAATAAAAGTTTGTTTATTGTATTCTTAAAATATATTCTGAAAACCATTTTACATAATATTATGGAGCAATACAACACAGGTTCAGAAGAATAACTGGTATTGCACACATATCATTACATTACTATGAATTGCACACACATTATATTATTGAAACCACTCTTGGCGTTCACACGTATCCGTGTTAATGCATTTATCTCCAACTTTTCAATATACAACACAAAACATATCTTTTTGTGGTAGAAGTGGCATAAATAATTTTATATCAACATCAACGACTTGCACGTTGGATCAGATGTACTTTGTCTTTAGAAATATTTTTTGACATTATTGTAAAACTACTAATACACCAAATAATCATTGTAAAAGTAGATTGTCCCAAAATGCAAATATTTGATATCACTTGTGTCCGATCCCAGGGCCAACCGTTATTTACTAATTGAATTATTGAATCAAACAGCTTTCATCACAATATACTTGTAAGGAAAATTCAATCTATTAGCGTATTTGCATTTTGTGATAATCTATGTCGAATAGTTTAGTCGATCATTTAATCAGGCCTAACAAGTACCTAAGTACCATAAAACAAATACATGGCGTGCGCGCGCGCACACACAGTAGCATGTCATTTGGACCTCACGGTTCTGTACGCCCATCCAGATCTGCGGTTTAGGTTGGAAAATATGCATATCCTAATACGAATATAATTTGATAATTTCAAACGCATGTTATTTTTTCTAATTATTAAAATTTTCACTCAGATTATACAATGGAATGGGTAATAAAAAGGCAAGATTTGTAGGCTTATATTCTGTAAGTATTGCAAATGAGTACATATTTTTTGTGGAAAGTTAGTGACAATTTTGGTAAAAAAAAACTTTTATTAAGCTTCGAATACTACAAACATTGTAAATCGTTGTACCGGATATTTCCACCTGAACTTTCTTTTGTACCATAAAATTACGTGACAATTTGGGCAAAGCATTAAGTGTGTCGCTTCTTTGTGAAATAAGGTATATAGCTAGAACACTTAAAAAAAATTGAAAGCAGCAAACCAGACTCCTATCAAACTATTAATTTCGGAGATAGACGCGAAAAAAACGGTGCCTTAGTTGAGAAATTGGTTGACAGATTTGGAAAAACATTAATTTTTCCATTTCTTTCTAGGAACACGTATATTGGTAGAACACTTTGCAAGAAATTGAATGGAGCAAACCTGACACCCGCTTGAAGGAAATGTTTACGACCTGACGAATTTTGACAAGCACGTGCAACCCCAGCAAATCGAGGTCTTAACGACATTCTCGCCGACGGCGAAGAGATTATACCTGCAACGCTTATGACAAAATTCAACGGAAAACTTTCTTCTGTTGCGTGGATCGTCGAGTCATTGGTCGAAGCTCCGCTCCACCAAGCTCCGCTAAAATTTGATTTCGGCCAATCAGGAGGAGTCTCACTGAAGGAGGGGTGGTATTACTTGAACGATTTCTTGAACGATGACCTGGCTTCCCCTCTGCTACAAAAACAGGTTAAGTCAAAAGTTCACAACGAGAACGTATGACAACAGAGAGTATATATCAGAGACGGCAGACAATGTTAAACGGAAAGCCCTTATTTTCGTGGAGGGGAGGAATTCGAATCTCCCACCCCAACAGAAACAACGAATGAGAAAGAGGCAGCCATATTTGACCCCCACCAG